GAGGAACAAAGAAAAAAAATAATGCATTCCAAAGTAATCTAATATAAATAAAAATAAAAATTAAAACAATTAAATATGAATTAGTGAATTTTAAAAAAAATCGCAAATATTCAAAAAATCTTTAGAGAATCGCAATAAAATTGCAAACTCTTAGAGAATTACTCAAATCTCTAGAGAATCACAATAAAATTGCAAATTCTTAGAGAATTACTCAAATCTCTAAAGAATTGCAATAAAATTGCAAACTCTTAGTGAATTGCTTAAATCTCTAGAGAATCGCAATAAAATTGCAAATTCTTAGTGAATTGCTCAAATCTCTAGAGAATTGCAATAAATTTACAAACTCTTAGTAAATTGTTTAAATCTCTAAAGAATCACAATAAAATTGCAAACTCTTAATGAATTGCTTAAATCTCTAAAGAATCGCAATAAAATAATAAAATTGCAAACTCTTAGTAAATTGCTCAAATCTCTAAAGAATCACAATAAAGTTACAAACTCTTAGTGAATTGCTTAAATCTCTAAATAATCGCAATAAAATTGCAAACTCTTAAGAGAATTACAAAAAATTGCAATTCTATAAGAATTTCGCTAAATTATTATTAAATCAAATGACTAAATGACAAATGATTTAAATGATCATTAAATGACTTTGATCATTTATCATTTGTCATTTAGATCATTTGCGAAATGACAATTGCTAAATGATTTAGGATTATAACAAAGGAATAGACAAATCATTTGAATGGTCAAATGACCAGGTCATTTCCGAACACTGCATCAAGGGGTATCCCAACCGATGATCATGATCAACATACTTTGAATAAACAAATTTTACGTGATGACACCTTTCCCCTTCCTAAACAATATACTCTCTTTTGATTAGCCTTTGCCTTTCTGCAGATCATCTGTCGTCAAAGATCATGTGCAAATTTAGCGTTACTCTACTTTGGTATCTCCGGACATCATCTATTTGGAGTGATGTTAGCTACCATTTAGTCTGGTATTTTTGTTGGCTCAACGGGTTTAAAATAGAGCAACAGGGAGCCTTTGTTATCAAGATCCTTACTCAAGATAAGTTCGCTTCGTCTAGATCTATGCCTCCCTGGTAACCAGATAAAGGATATAGGATACTACCTGTAGATATCTTGTAGATTTTTCATAGTGGATTCCATGTGATATTTTTTCCATACTTATAAATCTATAAATATGAAAAGCCTCTGTTTGGACCTTTCTTTAGACGCACTCACTCTCTTTGGTCAGTTGGTCATTATATCTGGAATTAACTGGACATTTAGGTTTTTTATAGAGTCATGTTTAGTTGTTTGTAAATTTCTATTTGTGCTAATTCCCTACTTCGAGTGTTGTTTTTAGTGTTAAAATTTTCTTTTGAGGGAAGTTAGGGTTCGACAGACATTTAGAAATTAGATGCTTTCTGACACTTTATTTCCACCCCCTTCAGGGGGTAGCAGTGATCAGTCGACTCAAACGAGTTTAAAATAAAACTACAGGAGGTAAGTTGTGTATTTTAGTATTTTTTTAGATTCTTGTCTTTAAATTTTCAATACAAAATAAAGTACTGCGACTAGACTGCATCGTTAATAATTAAAAAAAAAAAAAAAAATGAAGTAGAATATCACATTAATGGATTTTATTTAGAACTTTAATCATCGAGAAACTTGCTTCAGCTTTACATGGTAATGGCTATTGATAAATTGGGTGGTCATATTGATATTCTAACCACTTTGCAATATCTCACAGTTGAAAGGAATATCCTTTTTGATAGCACGCTTTATGTAATTTTTAGCATTGGTATAAAAACCAGGTATATTATAATATATAAGCTTACAGACAAGAACTATCTCATCATATGGGTCTATTTGGATTATAGAAACCCTTGCTTCTTTATTCATCCTTTTTCATCTCTCAAAAAAATAGAATTATCTATAAAAAATGATCATGTGTGTATGACAATTCATCACGCTGATTACTTTTGCCAAAAAAAAAAGAAGATAGAATAGCACTGATGTCTGAAAATGAAGTATATAAGAATCGAATACAATCCCTAAAGCATGATTTATATCATAGTGAGCTAGAGATATCTTGATTGTATAAAATAAAAGAGATCTTATAGCAGGAGATATCTGATCTTAAAAGCCAGATAATAGCGTTAGAGATAAAAATCCATAATTTGAAAAAGATTGTAGAGTGTAGATTGTTATTTATCACTTTTCAAGAAAATCAGATATCAGAAGAATTATCTAAGCTTTATGAAGAGATATTTTGACTAAAAAATAGGATTAGTGATCTTATCATGACCTTACTGAGTAATATACCTTCAAGATCATTAATAAGAAATTCTTTATTATCCTCATCATTCTCATTATAATTAAGACAATTGGATCATAATCAACCTTTATCAAGCAATATAGCTTTTAATTCATCAGATGCATCAGGAATACAAGACTATACATATGAAATAGATGAATGTAAAAAATTTAATTATTATACTACTATCTGGGTAAACTGTTTAAAACAAGTAGGATGTACTGCTAATAATGAAATAAATTTACGCAAAGTTCGGGATTGGTTAAAAATCTTAAAGTTAATCTTTTATAAGCTAAAAGAACAATAGCTGAGCATGATAAAAAATTACAAGATGCTCAGAATACTTTGAAAGACGCAGAAACCTTAAATAGAATATTACAAGAGGATTTTGCTAGAATAACAGAAAAGACTCAATCACTTTCTGGTGGCTTCTCTAAAGAGAGAGTTTCTATTGAAATATTATAAGAAAAATTCGATTGATCTATTTGGCATTGTCACAATTTGAGTGAGCAATTTGATGAGGATTTATCGATTAGTATTCCATCTTTAATACTACTTCTAATAGAACTAAAAGAAAACTTATCTCCCCAAGAGGTTCGCCGATTATTAGAGAAAGAGTATAAGAAAACTTTAAAAGCTATAGGTTTTGCTAATACTGCGAAAAAAAGGTTAAAAAATTAACACAAGTTATATATGACAGAAATTCTTCTCCTCCTTCTGAAATGTTAAATTCTCATTTAGAATTTGATGATGAGATTTTAGGTGATTTAGGAGGTATTACAGATATTTCATTGGAGAAGGAAGATTCTATATCAGATTTTCCATTCTATGATAAAGATATAGGAGTTACTAATGATCAGCTAGAAGAGAAGAAAGCTAGATTACTTCGAGAAAATACTTACCTTATTTTTATTTTTCGATTTCAGATTCACAAGGCTAGGACAGCATAAGATTTATGAGTTAATACAAGGAGAGATAATCGCATGTAGGGTTTCTCAAAATCGAATCAAATCAAATATTTAAGCAATTTGAATTTGATTTGATTTTTTCAAATTGAATTGAA